CAGCGACTATACAAATAGGAATAGTAACCGCAAGAAACACTCAGTTTATTACTCTAGGGTACTAGGCCCAAAACGAAAAAAAACACTGAATGGGAAATTCGTTTGAAGCATTGCTTTGCTGTAGGGCTGGGTAGTATATGCCGTAGTCACTCCTGGACCTTCCCTAACTGGTCGGGCGCATCTGGTGAGGGCGCTTCAGCCATGGCAAAATGCTCCCCAGGGAAAATCGTTTGGGGAGGTTCTCAGGCTCCCCAAGGGGAGAGAGCCTCGGTACAAAGAGCCCTCCCCAATGGCAGAGGTCCCCATGGCTTGGGGACGCAGCCATAGCTGAGAATTCCCTGAGTATAAGACTTAAGAATGAGAGCCATACTCAGCAAACCAGTGGTAAGAATGGTTAAAACCCACCAAAGAGCAGCTAAGTATGCTTTGGTCGAAGAATCAATAAGTTGCCCTAAGAACGTATAAGAACACCCCAAAGAATGAAAGAGAATACATAAGACTGCTGGGAGGTAAAGAATGCTAAAGAATTTGAAAGAACGGTTTTAAGATAAACGGAGGTCATACAAACGTTCTTAGGACGTGAAAGAACATTCTAATGGTGATCGAATTTTATCAGTTTGGCTTGGCTAAGGATGACTTAAGAATGTTCTTAACCCACCTCAGTGTTCACGCCGGCACAGTGGCCCCAGACCCATAAATCCTCCCTCCCCATCCTTCCCCTGCATGACAACCCTTCATCCTTCATCCCTGCTCCCTCACCCCCACCACCTTCCCCTCGACCTCACCCCAAATACTCACACTCTGCAAGGCCCTATACCCTATTCCTCTCTCCGGAGAACCGCACCTCCGGTCCCGTTTGCTTGACCCTTAGGTATGTTAAGGCCAGCAACAAGGGCCGACAGGAAGACAGGCCCAGTCAGTGAAGTCAGCACCCAAACGACAGTTCAGTGCCTGCTGGCACTCGCTCCTGCCATTCTTTATCTTACATGTGACGATGGTGCAGGTGTAAGTTCTGCCAGCTCCACAACATTACTTTCATCTCTACCTGAAACATCTTCCATACTGCACCTCAAATATGCCGATTCCAGACAAATGTTTTTCAAGACCCATCAGACTCTTCCCATACTCCACCTGCTGTTGTGCTGCAATGGCAACATCCTACATCCCCTACTTGCGCTTCAAATGCTGCATGCTTGCTATACTTCATATGGGTCAGCCAGCTCCGTTTCGGTGTGCAGGTTTACCGAATCTTTCCTCCAGGCCATTCAAATCCAAATTAAAATTAGCACAACAAGCCCAACATTCAACATTCCATGTCTATTTATGGCAGACTGCTGCAAACATGACTGCTAAGGCAGGCTGGCCCATCAACTATCAATACAAGAATAGGCCCACAACACACAAGGACAACAGTGCCTAATGCCGCTGTAAGACTATTCGCTAGAATGCAGCTCTCATACACAACACCACCATCACTGGCCTTGCTGCTGCAGCTGCCTTTTGAGGCCCGCAATATCTTTAACCGTGGCCTTCTTCTCCTGTGCCAAGGCCTTTTCCTTCTGCTCTGACAACTTCAGCTTCCATGCCAAGGCCTTTTTCTCCTGCGCCAAAGCCTTCTTTTCCTGCGCCAAACCCTTCTTCTCCTGCGTCAAGGCCTTCTTCTCCTCCTCCGACGACTTCAGCTTCTGCACCAAGGCCTTCTTCTCCTCCTCCAACGACTTCAGCTTCTGCACCAAGGTTATATTCTCCTCCTCCGAAAACTTCAGCGTCTGCACCAAGGCAGTCTTCTCCTGTTCTGCGGCCTGCCTCCTATCAATCTCAACGATGAAGGGCTCCGCCCACTTGTCTGCCAGAGTTTGAAGCACATCACGGCCCCGCTCGACCTGGGCTGCAACCTGGGAGATGTCTACACCAGGGTACAGCACGTTGTGTATGCGGGCGAAAACCTGCAGGATAAAAGGGTTGGTTAGGAAGAATGATCTACCTGCAAAAGGGTAATCCCTGGCTGCCGAAAAGGCCTCTAGAGATGCTGGAACACACTCCAGCATGCAATCATTCATCGTGTATGCAGTACTGTACAATGGATGGACTAGGTGATCCTGATAAAAAAACACCATCAGGCCCAAACGTGGCAGCATATGAACTCAAGGACCTATTTCATCTAGAAACCAAATTAGTACCAAATTGGTTGGGACACATTTATGAAGCATTCCCCTATCTGCAAGAGAACCGCCCTCCGAATCTTGGTCTTACCTTAGCCAACAATCCTGGACTCGAACCACCGGAATGTAACAGGTCACAGGAGAAGTATTTGCAAGCAAAGAGGCGGAACCGGTAGCCACATGCCTGGAACTCGTTTCGAGTGGGCCGGGGAAGCCCTTGTTGGCTGATCTCTCCAACCAGCTGCACAGAGGCGAAATACCACCTCTTGGCATCTGTGAGCAGGATCGTCACCAGATCTCGATTGCCATTCTGGATCGCCAGCTCTATAGCTGTTGCCATTGGCTGCCATATATCGCTTGAAGTCACGGTCCCTACCAACTCATAGGGGGTCTAACAGCGGCTAACAGGCGTGCCTGTTAGGAAATGTTAGCCTAACAGATTCTCTAACAGTGATGGGGCTGTCAGACGATGTTTGGGCTGGCGGCAGGTGGACCTGGCTGTTAACAACCATGTTGGAGAAGTAGAACAGGAATTGGTGCTGTTAGCCGTTGTTAAGGCTTGTCAGATGTTTTCAGACTGTATTTTAGCTCTGTCTCACGGTGTTGATGGATAATATCGTTTAGAACAAACATTCTTGAACGGTTTGTAACGAAATGTCCTGCCTTTTGCCTATTATTTGGCAAACCATACGTTTCAAGCAATATCATCAATCATGCATATTACCTCGCTTATTAGCAAGGCACTAATTGACTGGATGAAAATCCAGGCTGCTGTTCCAAAAGCACTACTGCTGCAGTGAATTTAGGCATGAAACGAATGGCACTACTTACATGGCGTAAGGTATCCATGTGCTTCACAGTTTAGCATACGAAGCACTACTGCATTTGAAAAGCAGTTCAACGCCAATATCTGCTTACAGCCACCAGCAGGCCCACAAGGTTGAATGATCTGCATCCTCTCTCTCGTGACCGAAACACAACGTGCTGCAGCTAAAGTAGGCCCTGAGCTTAAGATAGAAGAAAACATGTTAATGTTCAAATTCAAGATCCTCCCTTCATATCCAGTGACCTGCTCCACCACATACAACCCGACGTTTTGCATGCAAACCCCACCTTCATGCCTGCTGCATACACAACCAAGCAACTGCTGGTCTATGAGTACGCAACATTGTAGCCTCCCTTGCCATTTCCTGCTCTCCTCAGCCAACCCTTGCCCCCCTTGACCTCTCTTGCTCTCCTCTGCCATCCCTTGCTCTCC